TTCCTTAAAATTTTTTTTGTCCTACCTGCACGGAAAGTGTGTTATTTCGTGCACTTGAGGCGGTCGCAAAGTAAGTGATTCCCGCCCAGAGATGGGGTGAGCGGGCGCAAAGTACATTCGCGCCCGCTGACGTCATAGATGCGGGCGCAAAGTACATTCGCGCCCGCTGACGTCATAGAAGCGGGCGCAAAATACATTCGCGCCCGCACCATTAAAAAATGTATTGTTTTCATTTTTTGTGACATAATAAACATACGTAATATACGTAAACAACTACATGTAATTTACCTTAAGTATATTATCTTCCCAACCCTGATGGAACATTGAAACAAGCGGACTTGCATGCACTCAATAATACACTTTCCATGCAGACAGGACAAAAAATGTTGTTCGCAGCACGGGCGCAAAAGGTGATAGTGTCTCAGGCGAGATTATGAAGAAACCTCGGCGACCCTACGCACCCTCGGCTTCGCCTCGGGCGCTTCGGGTCCCCTTGGTTTCTCTAATCTCGCCTTCGCCACAATCACCTATTTTGCGCCCTTGATACGAAAATAACTATTTTTACAACTTAATTTTAATATTTTATAATTTAAAATTTTTTTTAATTTAGCTATTAATCCACCTATTATTAAAATTATATATTTTATTTAAAAAGATTTTAAAAATTTAAGGCATAAAAACATCTTAATTTAAAAAAATAAAAAGAGAAATAAAATATAACCTATCTATGTAACAAGGCATATTTTTATTATTGCATTTTGACATTTTTTAAAAATAATTACTATTAAAATTATTATTTATTGTTTTCTAAGTGAAAAACTCAAGGAAAACAGTAATTTTTATTGTTTTTTAATATCAAAGGATAGAATTTATAGGTTAGGTTTTCTAAATTACACATTTTTTTCAATTTCAATTGAGAATAAACTTTCTTAATAAAAAAATATATGATATATAAATAGAACAATAAATAAAATGCCAATAATAGATAATAGAATAATTTAATTTATAAAAAAGAAAAACATACTAATATATTCAGAAAACATGTGAATATAGATTTTATTTATTTATCATATTAAAATAATAAATTATGTTAATTTATATTTACCTGAATTAATTACAATTTTATTATTTAAGAAAATAATGAAATAATATAATAGTTACATGAACACAGATTTCTAGCACTTTTTTGTCTAGTTATTAGACATGTACTGCAGCGCTGCTGCCACAAAAGAAGACGAAAGTATAATTTCTAGAGACACTAGACAGTGCCATTCAAGCAACTGGACAAAAGTTGAATCTAGCCAATTTCAAGTTCAACTTGAATGTTTTCTAAGACTGTTGGTCAAGTAACTTTACAGTAATTGTCTAGTTTGTCTAGAATCAGCGTCCACGAGAAAAACTGGCCAGTTACTAGAGTATTTCTAGTGCTTCCATGACAAATTTCTACTAGGGTAGAATTGACTTTTTCATCCTCTCTCCTATACTGACGCTTATTTTATGTCCTAACGATTATGTACCTAACAGAGAAAATTTCTAACCGACGGGAATTGAACCCTTGACCCTAACGCTCGCAATCCGATACCTTAACCGACTAACCACGCACGCTCGCTACGACAGTCTGCAAACTACTCTGCTTGTCCAATTGGTAATTTAACTATTTAAAGTAGTCATTTTTACTACTTTTATTAGTTGCTATAACTATACTTTTTAAGTTTTGACTTGTAAATTTTTCATCTTTTAATTATATTATAAGTTGTTTAATTGCATAGTGCAGTAAAATCTATTACTTAAAATAATTCCTTTTACTACATTTCATATAACTGGTGAATACACGGAAAAACTTTGTTCAAGAATCATTCCTGAATTTGTTCAAGAACTGAGGACACGAGAAAAATTCTGCAAAATTTACAGAAAAATACAAAAATCATTCAAGAAAATACTTGTATTTTTATTATGACATTGGAAGACTTCTTGTTAATGCCGCGATTGGAATATCTCAGTCACTGGGCGTTGAAAGTTTCTTGAACTGTTTTAGAAGTCACAGTACAGTAACCAAGCACTAGGCAGGGATTGGTTGCGTTAAATACGTTTCCAATGCATAATACCATAAGCTGCTAAGGTAGCTGAGAGATGTAAAGCGGAATTTTTGGACTCTCGAGGACGTGGGATCGAGTCCTCTCAGAGTAAATTTTTTTTCTCGCAAACGTAAAAATTTATTCTAAAACAAGTTCAAGACTTTCTGTAGTGAGTTTAGGAAGTTGTCTTGAATTTCTCTACAATTCTTATAGAAATACTGCTTAGAATTTTTCAAAGAAAATATAAATAAGATTTCTTAAATTATTCTCATATCCTCAGTTACTGAACAAATTTAGGAATGATTCTTGCACAAAGTTTTTCCGTGTAGTAGTTGGATTAGTTGACTACAATTCCACTTATTTTTACTACCTTAAGAAAGTTAATTTTACGACCTGTAGTTGTACTTTAACTACATATTTACGTAAAATCAACTATTACTTCACAGAAAAAACCTGAATTCAAATTGAGTATAGATTCTATACTCAATTTGATTCGCAACAAAAATGAAACTGGTTGTCTCATTTCGAGTTCTAAGGTAAAAGTATCAAAATGAAACAGGCAAGTTTCATTTTGAGAAAAAGAAAAATGGAAAAATATTGTGAAATAACGAATAATTTTGCACAAAAACATGAAATATAATAATTACAAAGAAGTAAATAACACGCTAGACTTAATATATTTGATTAAAAATTGCTTGTAATCGCGTAATAAAATAATAAAGGAAATATGTTTTTAGGTTAGAAAAATGAAAACATGTGTTTTGACAACAGGAACGGTACTGCCAACTTAAATAATAGCGGTAAATTTAAAAACTTATGAAATTAATTATTATCTACGTAAATAATAATAAATAATTTTTATTTAAAAACTTCTAAATATTCGTACTGGTCAAAATAATCTTTCTGGTGTTGTTGAAATATTAGAAACAATAATTGAAATACAAAATTACTCTGCTTATGATGCCAACTTAGAAATCTGAAATTCCAGCCAATATCATTTTTAATAACATGAAGTTTGTCCCATACTCATTTCGATACCCAAAAGAAAATGAGTTGCAACAAAAATGAGTCCAAGTTTTTTCTGTGTTATTAATTTCTTAAAAATAGTTACATTCACTACATGAACATGATTAGATTAACTAAAAAAGTAGTTATTTTAACTACTTTCTACACTCTAAATCTGAATCAGTGAAAATTTTCACTGAATTCAAATCAGTAACTCAGTTTTATTTAATTCACCAGTGGAATTTCACTGGGAATCACTAAAAACCACTGATTTTCCAATAGAAATTCCACTGGTGAATTAAAGAAAACTGAGCCACTAATTTGAATTCAGTGAAATTTTCACTGATTCAGATTTAGAGTGTAGTTAACTACCTAATGGTAGTTGAATTTCTCGGCAACATTTTTTTCAGTGCAGTTTCAGTTTTGATGCCTATCAATTTGAGTATGAAATTCGTAATCAGTTTGACTTCAGATTATTTTGCTTCCTCGTGGAGGAAGCTTTGTAGTCCTTTCGTTTATAAAACTTTTCAAAGTGGCGGAAACAAATTTTTTTCTTTATAGAAACATGTTATATGAGATCCTGATCAATTGTCCGGATGTATGTATGTGTGTGTGTTTGTGGATCCTTTTTTGTTTAGAACATAACTTTAACAGGTTTTAATGGATTTAGATAAAATTTTGTAGGCTCATTTATCATATTAATATCTCAAATCTGACCAAAGGATTTTAAAAAATACCCCAAAAAAAAATTTATCGTCTTTTTTCCAAAAATTTTTTTTTAATCAAAAAAATTTTTAAATAGTAAAATTTAAGGTTATATATAATAAAATCGTATTCCTTACGTCAAGACGAATCGATCGATATATATAAAGTATACATTTGAGGTAAATTTAAAGAATTAATGAAAGTTAAAAAATCAAAAATTCACATTTTGGCAATAAAATTTTGTGATTTTTTAAATTGAAGTTTATATATGAAATAATTGTATTCCTTACGTCAAGACGAATCGATCGATATATATAAAGTATATATTTGAGGTAAATTTAAAGAATTAATAAAAGTTAAAAAATCAAAAATTCACATTTTGGCAATAAAATTTTGATTTCTCCACGAGGAGGCAAATTTTTTTTGCTGATCGTAAAGAGGAAGCAAAATGTTCATGTAATGAACATCTGAATTTACAACTTGTTTTTGTAAGTATTTTAGCGGCATTTGTTAAATATTCAAAGAATTCTTCGAATATTAAGGATTTTTATTTTTTCGCGTTACATATTTTCTGCATAGCTATGCATAAAAATTTTCCTCTCGAGAAGATGGCTTTAATGAGATAGATTTTTTTTTTTTTTTTTTTTGCTAAGGTAAGGTCATTCATCTTAATGTGCATAATGTTCTTTTTTGTATCACACACCAGCTCTAAAAACGTTTGTGTTTTATTTTTTCTCTCTCAACCTAATAGCTTTTGTGAATATATGTGAAAGAGACATAAATCAATTTGGGGTTTTTTTTTTTTTTGGTCTGTATGTGTGTCTCTATATTTTCTTGATATTTCTCCTCCCCTACTTATATTCGATAAGTAACATTTTTCTTGTTTACTATATTGCTAACAATATCAGAAATTAAGGGATTTGTTTCGACTCTTAAGGAATCAAGAAATTAATATTCTGTAATGATAAATTGGAATACAGAAAGGTATGATTTCTCGGTAGTATTAATAGATGAAAAATTGTGTATAATTAATCAATTTGATTAATTTAATTGAATTTCGAAAGGGGCTCTGAAAATTGTAAGAGTCGTTTTCACTATTAACAGTTTTATGAAAATGACACGTTTTTTTGTGTTGAGCCCATTTCGAAATTCATGATTCAATTAATTATTGAATTTGGTTGGAAAAAATTGAAATTTTATATGATTTATTTTTACCTTCGAGCAGACAAAAGATGAAACTTCCCGCAGTTCCCGCAGGAAGGCTCCAAAGAATGGTACCACTGGGCATTCTGACATTGCCAGAGCTCGTGCCAAAGCGTGCTCATACTCGGAAGACAGTAGTGCGGAAGATAGGTATTCTAGAACCGGAAGAGGCTCGTTCACGCTTTGCCAAAATGGCTTCAACTTGTTAGATCTGCAACAAACATAAAGGCGGATGTTAGTAAACAAGTTCAGTTTAGGATTGATTTCTCTACACATACGTTCATATAAACTTTTCCAATTCTCGATTTTCAAAATTATATATAAAACGCAAATAAAAAAACAATGTTAACATTTTTTCTAATTCATGACAAAAAATATCTGAAACATAAAGAAAAAATGGTGACCTACCAATTCTACGAAAATACGATCGCTATATAATAATGGTTGACACAATGGTTTCCACAGTAACGATTGCTGTGGTGAACGACAGACAGACACGTCTCATTATTTGATATTTCGAATTTCGGAAAGAAATTTTTTTTCCAAATAACAATTCGATAACTACTATACCCTAATTACATCGAATTATTATTCGATCAGTAAATTCTCATTTTTTACCCAAGAAACTAAAAAAAAAAATATAATTCAAGATATTTGAAAATTTAAAATTCTAAAAAATTTGTCTATATTTAAATTTATTGTAGACGAGGATATTCAACATATGTATATACATATATATATATATATATATATATATGTGTGAAGCAAAAATATGTATAAAGTAATCTAATGCTTTACTGCTCAATATTCGGGAACTAATATACATTCGACACGTATCAAGAATACATTATGTGCGCAGCAATAACTTCCTCATAATCGATATTCCATTCATATTGCGTGCTGCGTGGGCGAAGAATGTCCCATTTGGAAAATATATGTATCAAACGTGGAAGGGGCATTTTTCTACAATTTCACAAATCAAAGGTAAAGCAAAATGGAAATTGGATTTTTCACATTTAACATTTTTTATTGTACATTATAATGCATTCTTCAAAATAAATATATATTGTTCAGCTTGGGATACATTGATGATAAATTTGGCAACATTTCTCATATTCGCATTTTTCTTTGAAAATAAATATATACTTGGGAGAAAATTTATTACAGTACTGACAAGAATTATCATCTGAGGATTTTTTTTCGAAGACATAAATAGTATCAAAATGATTGATAATTTCTAAAGGACAATATTGTCCCTAATAATATCTAATATATTGGTAGAAAAATTATGTTTAGATATGTTTTTTTTTTTAAATTCAATTTCTTTTCTGCAGCTTAAAGTATATGTATTTTTCCCTCAAGCGATTAATTTCATATGCCAACGCAAAACTTGGAATAGCCAGCTAAAAAGTTTTGAAAAGCTGAAAAAGTATTCATATCTCATTTCCAATTTTATTGCTTAAATTGATTTAAATTTTTTTGTTTCCCATTCTATATTTTACTTTTGTAAAATCCACTTAAAAATTTTCATTAAACTTTTTTATAAAGATTTACTTATCCGTAAAACTAAAACTATTTCAATGTAAGTTTTTTTTTTTCATTATTTTTTCCAAGGTTGGATTTTGCACCCTTAAGTTTCTTTGCTGAGGTGCGCATAAGTTTCTTATCGTGCATGCATCAAGAGTGTTTTTCGCAAATATATATATATACGTAATCTCAGACCTAGTTCACAAGTTTGACTGAAGCACAAAAAAAAGGGAGAGGAGAAAAATGGCTGGATATGCGACCGTTATTTTCTCATCCACGAGCCCTGGGTGCAGCTTTTACGTTCGGCAGTAAAAAGCACTTTACTTTCACTGTTCGTTTTAGAAGACAATATAGGTTCCGGATCTACTCAGCACTTATGGCCTGGTTCAAAAACCTAATGTAACCCACGTTCTCTGTTAGGCTATCTTTAAAATATATATATAAAACCCCTGTCTCGTGCATGTTTCGATACAATTTGCAAAAAAAAAAAAGAAAAGTTTGAAACAAAAAAGAACCAGAGCATAAAATTCAAAAACTATTTTCTAATACAGGGTATCCTTTTGTAAATGAATTGAATACAAAGCACAACATAGAGAAATAATTTAAATGACAGAATTAGCCCTAAACAGTACAACAGTAGAAAATCACTTTCGGAATTTTTTGCAGAATTTGTGTTTTTGTATTTGTAATTTTTTGACCATATTTTTGATTCCATCAAAAAACAAAAAACGCTATTTTCTTCCTTACGAAAAAACAAAGAAAATGACATATAATAAAGTTAGTTTACGTTAAATATAAATAATCTAGCAACAAAACAATTTTTTGGGGTAGTTTTCTACCCCAGTTGTAGTTCTACGTATACACCAGCTTGTGTTGTACTGTCTAGAATTAATTATTTTTTAAATTTAATTTCAATTAATTATTTTTTAAATCTTGTAAAATTAGTCCCATTTTTATTGAATATTTTTTAATGGTATAATTTTTTTTTCATTATTTATTCTAAATATTATTTTATATTATTCAATTATTACATTCTTATGTTGTATACTTTTTAGCTTTCAATTTTGAAAGGTTACGAGTTATAAAAATAGAAAAAAAAAAAAAAAGAATGTCTTGGGGAAAAAAATTAAAATCTTATTAAAAAAATATTATTACTATAAAATTCTGTGATGGATTTATATACGAAAAAAAAGTGATTGGGGTGATACTATATAGTCATCTACGAAGATTTTTAAGAATATTATGAAAATATAAAACTCCTCCTCTATACTTATTTTTCGAGGGTGAGGATTTATTTTACGATTTTACCCCTAAAATGAAAAATATGGAACACTGCCTAACTAATCATGGACTTACTTTACCTATAAAAATAAAAATAATAGTTTTTAAAAAGTAAGGCCAAATACAGTTATGTTGTTTTAAGTTAAAATTAATATTAATAATGTTATTATTTATAATATAATAATAATAATAAAATTAAATTAAATATTAAAATTGAATTAATCAAATTAATTAAATAAAAATTGTTTTAGAATAAAACCAAATTAATTTTCCTCTCATGGTAAATATGTGATAAGAAAAAATATTGAATTAATAAATGTTATATTTTTTTAAAAAAAATTATATTTTTCCAATAATACTTGTTATATTCATGTACTTAGGTAAAAAAAAAAAGCTTAAAACCCTCGAGCATCATCAACACAAAAAAAAAAAAAAATGAATGTATCAGCTATCCGGTTGGCAAGGAATGCGATAAAAAAAGGAAAATCGATTGAACAATGTGCTTCATTAATGTAATTTATAATCATAGATATCGTTGTCGACACGAATTTCGAGATCATTTACTGGAAACGATAATGATAATACTATTATAAGCGAAAAATGATTTTGAACAATAATTAAGTATTTTTGCTACATGATTTTCAATCATTATTCCAATTATTATTACATGAGGGTTGTTAATATGAAAAAAAAATTTATAGTTAATAAAAAAAAATAGTACAGTTCAAAAATTTTATAATTCCACAAAAAAAAAATACTAACATATATTGGGATTAATAATTGTGAATTTATATGATAAGCGGTAAATAAATATAAAAACTAATTTTTTAGTCTTCGCTGAAAAATTTAGAATAAAATTCATAGGTCAATGTAATTTTTTTTTTTTTTCAGAGAAATTTGATTGTCAACGACGCGCTATTGAGTTTGGTGACCTAAAAATATGTAAAATTTCGCCACCGCTTTCCTCACAAAGTACTTAATGTATTGAGCTTGAATTTTGTGTAGAGAGAATAAGGAGGGAAAAATTATTTTTCACTCTATCTTTTTCTTAAGTTTTCAAAGAATATTAATAATATTCACTTTAAAAAAAAATTTCTAATTATTTATTCGTTAAACATTATTTTTTAAATTATTAGCTTATTATTATTATATTAACAATTTTTTATTTTTGGTGTTCAATCTTCAAAGAATACACGAAAAAAAACGCCTTGGGAAAAAGATTTAAAATCTTATTAGAAGAAAATTGGTACAATAAAATCGATAATATATGTAGGGGTGCGGTTAGGATGGTTTGCACAGCCATTCTCCAAGATTTAAAGAATATTTCTTTTAAATTTTAAGATGAGGTAAAAGTTTCTTGAGTGTTTCACATTCACTTTGTATGAAAATTTATATAGAAGACTGCTACAATAATAAGATATGCAAAAAAAAAAAAACCAAAACTTTTTAAAATTAAAAAAAAAATTTATTTTTGTTCAACTTGAAGGAAAAAAATTTTTTTTTAAATGTTGCATTTCTAACTGGAATATTTCACGTATTTATATTTTTTGAAAGCAAAACATAAATAATGCACTTGAAAAATGTGTCTTGAGACTTTTTCTCTTCAACTTCTTGAAGAATGTTTCTCATTCAATTTGTGCTTATGTCACTTCTTCAGTCACTTGACCACCTGTTTCCCGCTCAGTTTCTCCTTTTGTCACCGTTACGAGTTTGTTTGTAATTTGAAAGTATAGAGGAGGCACACAAGCAACATCCTTCTAACAGTTGGAAATAAAAAATTTATCACTTTTTCTAACTTCTTTTTTCCCAATACAGTATTTCCTTTTGACATATATCTCATTTATATTTAAGAACATTTTGATAGGTCGACAAAAAAGTTTTCGTTATGTCTACACATAAATAATTTAACTTTTGTTATTGAAATGCTGAGAAGAATTTTACTCTTTTTTTTCGGAATCATATATGCTAATAGTGCGGAAACATTGCTTTTAGGGTTACCAAAAAAAAGGAAGGAAAAATTTCGGATTGATCAATTAATATTTTCTACCGCTGAGAAGTTTAAAGTGCTCTGTCAGAAATATTAGAATTAACCTCTTTGCGAAGCTTACCCAAGACGTCAGCATATGAACTAACATTTTGTACCGACACGGAAACCGGAACATCGGTGACCGAAATTTAGTTTGGAAACGGAACCTCCTCGAGGACCCCGCTGGGTACTTTGCCGCCCTTTTTACAATCAAGATTTTTGAATCTGGCCTGTTCGAAGGGCGACAATCTAATCCAAAACAAACTTATACCGAAGTCTCCTAGTACGAGTGTTGGTACTTAAGTCGCAAGACCCATTACACCTAACCCTGGCAAGCTCGAACCTACACGGAGAGAAAAATTAGGTTGCAACAACCG